AACTGAACCCTAAAGATGCTACCTCAATTCACCTTATGGGTATTTGGTAAGAAAATTTCTTTAAATGTTTCAGTGGTATTATATGATCTTATTTTGTAGTATGTAAAAAAGCAAAATATAAAATATTTTAAAATATTATTTGGCAGTCAAGAGTGTCTAAACCGTACATTAACTAGGAGTTGTACTAGTTATTTAGTTTAGTATTTAGAAAATACTAAATTTGATTGTGATTATGTTAAACACTGTTATTTACATCATTTAGAAACATGTACTAAGACTGAAAAATAAGAAAGCATTGAGACTTTTTGTTAGACCTTTAAATTCCCTTTGTTGGGAAAGACTATTCTTATTTACCAGACTAAAATGAAATTGGATTAATCTAACTGTAGTAATACAGGATGCCCTAAGAGGATCTTTGAATCTTCAGTGTGTATCAGATACAGTCTGGTTGACCTGAGGAATAATCTGACTTTCAGTATCTTTCCATTTTTATGTAACCTTTGTTCAATGTACATCATAATTTTGCTAGTATGAACATATACCAATGTGTTAAGTGCTCTCTGGTTTAAGAGTGTCTCTTGAGACAGCTTTACCCTGTTTTATTTGGGTGTAGTCTGCGGATCTAAGTGTTTATTGTCTTCTAAGAAGGGTAACAGTGCAAAGTACTGTATCAAACTCTTTTGAAAGAGAAGTAAATATCCTTCAGGATAAAGGACATATTAAACTAACAAAACACTTACTGAGGATTAATGATAATTGAGGGACAGTCAGCAAGTTAGATGCTGGTGAGTGAGACAGTTTCTTCCTCGGGGAGTTCAGACACAAATTAAGATCCAACACTTTTTTTCCTACTTATTTCAGAAAGTTGTCAAGAACTATGGATGTTAAACATTTGCCTCACTCTTTCAATATGTAGACTTTGATTGTTGGTTGCCATTATTATTTATGCATATCATGTTTAGTTTTGTTCTCTTTTTTTTTCTCACTTCTCTGAGTTAGTTTGTCTTAGGGGAAAAAGAGGGGTAATGATTTGCTCTTATTTCGTTATTGTAAGGAGTAGAGGAGAGGAGCATTTAGCACAAAGTGAGCGTTCAGGGGTCAGTGATACAGTGTGTCACCATTGCTGTTACAAATATTTCTTACTATTTATACTTAGTCACAAAATACACCCTAATTGATGGATCAATATAAGTCAGTCTCTAGGTAATTCAGTATGAATATTAACCTGCTGGATATTATGTTAA